GCGGAAGATGTGGAAAACGGGATACTAAACAGAAAGTGTACAGGGGGCTCATTCACAGGAGTGAAGTCCCCAAGGAAGCCCTGCATGCCTCTGCTGGGTCCTGCCTTATTACCACTGTCTCTACTTTTAAAAGCACCAGCTGTGGTATTTTGGGTTAGAAATAAGTTTTAACAAGCAAGTGAATTCATAGGTACAAAATTTATGAACATTGGAAATCAACTTTTCTGTTTATTTGTTCCAGAAGCATTTACTAGGTAGGTGTGAGTACACACTTGGAAGCTTGGGAAAGGTAGGTTAGCAAATTGGAAAAGCTGAGGCTTACTTCCTAGGGTTAGACCTTTAATGCAGGAGTTGAATGGCAGTTCCTTGTGGGACCCAGATTCATGGGATCACATAGCACACACATAGACATACACACTGCACACCACAAAGACACTCACCAGCGACACATATATACCACACACAGACAGACACACAACACCTCTCTCTCTCTTTCTCCCTCTCCCTCTCCCTCTCCCTCTCCCTCTCTCTCTCTCTCTCTCTCTCTCTCTCTCTCTCTCTCTCACACACACACACACACACACACACACACACACACACACACACACACATGAAAATAGAAGATACTTAAGCCCTTAGACCAGAGAAGAGGCATCAGGTGGGGCTCAGGGTTTTGATGAGAGGGGATGTGACAAAAGTATCTGAGGGTGACACTGGTGGCTCAAGCCTTGGAGAAGCAGAGTATAGGAGTCAGCTGTAGACAGGGAGAATCCTTAGGGGAAGGAGGAGCTTGAGAGAAGTCTTTAGGTGGGAAGCTGAGAATATAGGAAGTTGTTTCCCTAAGCACAGCATTGCAGAGGACAGGAGAGTTGAAGACAGGCTCAATACTGACCACAAGGGGCTAGATGCTGTAAATGAGCTTAACTTGTAAGAGGGGAGTGGGGACAGCTGCCTGCTAGGCAGGGTAGACAAGAGACCTCTGACCCCTCTGTGCAGGAGGTCGTGGAGGTGTGATTAGCTCTCAGCCCTCCTGAGACAACATGTTCTCCAGGAACTCTAGTGTTACCTAGGGCTCCAGATTCTGGGATAGTGGACTTAACTGTAAATTTGCATTTGCTACATATAGATTATTCCCTTTCTTTGCTCCCTTTTTTTTGGTTCCCACTTCCCAGAAGAAACAGTTGTCAATATTTTGTCTTATTCTTTAAGACTTTAATTATGAATTTATATGTTTATATATATCCATGTATATCCATGTAAATATGTGTATAAGTGTCCATACAGTTTTAGAAGGAGATACACACATATATAGGTCCACAAAGAGTCTTCCCACAGACTGGCTCACCTTGTGTAATTTGCTCTGCCATTTGAATTTTATAGAATGCTTAAGAGGCCTTTCCATGACAGTAACTGTCAGGGAGATGACAGTGCTCGTTCTGCACTTAGCCTCTGGCTTCTTGTGGATCCTCACATTTGTGTGGCAAGCACCTTTCTGCCAAGGCCATCATCTCCTTAACCTCCCTAAGGCCAAGTTACACTTGATACCCAAGCTAATTTATTGTGGTGTGTGTGTGTATCTGCATGTCTGTGCCTGTGTACATGTGTGTCTCTGTGTGTATGTATGTGTATCTGCATATGTCTAGGTGTATCTATGTGTGTCTGTGTCTGTATGTGTTTGTATGTGTATCTGTGTGTATGTGATTTGTATAAGTCTCTGTGTGTAAGTATCTGTGTGTCTGTGTGTCTCTCTGTGTGTATATCTATATGTGTATGTGTGTGTGTCTGTATGTCTATGTGTATGTGTATCTGTGTTTGTGTGTGTGTGTGTGTGTGTATTTTAACTTACTCTACCTGCTTACTTGTTTCAGGTTTGTGGATATAGGATAAAGCTTCACTTTGATGGATATTCTGATTGCTATGACTTCTGGGTAAACGCAGATGCTCTGGACATTCACCCTGTGGGCTGGTGTGAGAAGACTGGCCATAAGCTCCGCCCTCCAAAAGGTGCCGCTGCTTTTTCTCCTTACTTTAAATTCAGTACAATTTTACTTTCTGCGATGTTAACTTGGAAGCTTTAGGAATTATTCTTTATGATAATCAATTCAAGTTTATTGTTCATGGTGTAAAACATGCTTTTTAAGATCAAAGAAATAAAGGAAAATCTAATTTAAGATACTGAATTATTTTCATGTAGTTTTTGCATATGAAATAATAATGGAATAATAATAATTATTGACTATAAATTACTTATACATACAGATCTGTTTTATCTGTATATATGTGTGAATATATACACACATAGTCTTGAAGAAAACCATTTGAGAAATTAATTTTACTGCTATTTTACTATATAGAAGGTACTGAGAAGCCAGATGTGGTGTCATACACCTGTAATCCAAATCTAGTGAGGCTTTGGTGGGAAGATTGTTGGTTAGAAGTGAGTCTGGGGTTTACTGTAAGTTCAGGGCCAAGATGGATTACAGTAGTAGGCATGATTTCAGTGGGAGAGGGATAGGTAGTGAGAGAGAGAGAGACTCCTGAGAAGCCATGCCTTGAGAATATAGCACTAAAATTACTATGCATAGATGTTGGACTATTAATAATAATTATTTTTTGGTGATAGGGATCAAGATTAGGGGCTCATTCATGTGAAACAAATGCTTTACACTGATTTATGCCCCTAGCCATGTGGAGTTCCTTGCTTTTTATTTTTGAGACATACAGCCTTTTCTCAAAATTGAACACTTCACCATTTTTCCTGTCTCCTGAGTGCTGACAGGCACAGACAACCATACCCAGCAGAGTCCTTTATATTATAATCTGCCAGAGTATTTAAAAACCTGTTTTATAATTATTTTAAAAATCTTCAGAAAAGCAGATATTATCATTTTCAGTCCATCCCCTATGTCCCTATGTATTTAATAACTCTCTCTCTCTTTCTTCTTCCCCCTTTTTTTTTTTTTTTTTTTTTTTTTACTTCCTACAGTGTTGGGGGTAGAACTCAGGGCCCTGCAGCCTGTCAAGAGCTTGTCCACTGAGCCACAGTCCAGCCCCAAACATGTTATTTGATAGCAGTCCACCAACCCTTTATTCTAACTAAAAGTTAAAGATAATGTGAGACTTTTGAGAAATACAAAAGTCCTTTTAGAACTTCATTTCTTGTAAAAAAAAAAAAAAAATGGAACTGTTAGACAAGGCCTTGTCTCTTCCTGTGGTTAGATTAGGTGAGGGAAACTGAGGAAGGTTATTTTTTTTTTATTGGATATTTCATTTACATTTCAGATGTTATCCCCTTACCCCATTTCTCCCCCCATCCCCCACCCAGGAACCCCCTATCCCATCCCTCCTCCTCCTGCTTCTATGAGGATGTGCCCCCACGTTACCCACCCTCCCACCTCCTCACCCTCCAATTCCCCCATACTCAGCATCCAGCCTTCATGGGACCAAGGATCTCCTCTCCCACCTATGCCGGACAAGGCCATCCTCCCCTACATATACAGCTGGAGCCATGGGTTCCTCCCTATGTGCTCCAAGGCTGGTGGTTTAGACCCTGGGAGCTCTGGTTGGTTGGTATTGTTGCTCTCCTCATGGGGCCGCAAACCCCTTCAGCTCTGAGGAGGGTTATTACTCCAGGTTACAAGTCCTACTTCTGAGGAACTGTAACTATATTGATACAAGGAACTTGACACCGAAAAGCATAGCAGGTTCAGAATACATCTCCTTCCTTATTCCTTTTCTGTATATCCATCACCGCATCCACTTAGAGTTGAAAAAATAATAAGAAACTTAGAGATAAATACCACCTGTATCTAAAACTAACATCGTTATAAATTATGGGTTAAATTTTATTTATTGAAAAAAAATCATTTGATTGCAGTAAGACTGGGAGTTAGCTGGTGGTTCTTTGTAATTTTCCTAACTCTGTCCACATGTGCTTTTCCTCTAGGGTATAAAGAAGAAGAATTTAATTGGCAGTCCTACCTTAAGACATGCAAAGCCCAAGCTGCTCCCAAGTCATTATTTGAAAATCAGAACATAGTAAGTGCACCTAAAGTACTTTTCCTTTCAGAATGAGCGATTTTTTTTTAAGTGTCTTGTAGGATAAATCCCAAGTGATAACAAGGAACTATAATAAATTTTATTGCTTTGGTAAGTAGAGTTCTCATGTCTTAATTAAACGTTAAAATTAGCTTAAATTCTTCATGAACAAATATCTATTTTATAGCCATATTATGGTTGTCTTACTGAATGGTAGAAGGCAACATAATATGAAATCCAGGTGTGGCTTACAATTAAGATGCATAAAAATTAAATCGGCTGGAACATTATAATGTTACCTTCATTTAATTAGGAGTGCTGTTCAGTCAGAAATCACATGGTGTGATGGATATAGCCCTGTTTGAGTTTGCTGGCCAGAGATCACTAGGGACTCTGGTCTGCCTTTATTGCGGTGTATACCTTTGGTGGCCGTAATTTTTGTAGGAGAAGCAAAGGCAGATGTAGGTACATTTTCTATTTCTTGTCTATTCTTGCATTATACTCTTCCATTCCCAAGATTTGATCTACTTAGAGCAGGGGCAAAAGAAATGTCATCCTTATAGCTCAAAAGAACTAGATGTGAGGGCACATGCGACCTTTCACTTCAGACAAATGAACCTCTTGATTCCGAGCCCTGGAATCAAGTTTTTTTTCTGTCTCCCATCACCCCTGCAACTCCCTGGACCCTCAGCGGACAGTAGGACCCATGTCTCTGCATCCTGGCTCTCTATTAAGAGTCTGAGCATCCTCTTTCCCTGGATTCATCTTTTAGGTATCAGGGAGTAAAGAGGATAGAGGCACCAGGATTCCCTCCCGATGGAACAAGTATTGGCATGGGGAAAACTTTCCCTTTGGGTAGTGATATCAAGCAACTGGTTTGAGGATACAAATCTAATGGAAGAAATATGCTCTGATTACATTGAACATAAAGTAGGTTGAATTAAAGATTGAAAGGAGAAAGGGAGAGCGGGAGGGAGAGAGATACACAGAGAGAGAGAGAGAATATGGTCAGCCTATTTTATTATTTCTTAGTTGGGCAGGTAGTTTAATCGCTGGAATGTAAATGCTGCCCCCCACTCCCCTTGCAGTTTGTATTCTCTGACAAGACACATTCCTGGAGGAAGGTCAGTTGGGTGGGAACTCAGCAGCCTGATGTTTCTGCCCCCTGGCTGCTCTTCTAATGGTGACTTGTATCTTGTCATGATTAACTGCCCTGAGCCATCACTACCGTTCTAGACATGGTTAGCATACAACCTGATCTTAGGTTGTGTTTTGGCATTGGAGGGTTAATTAATGTTTCTACTTCTACATTCTCCACCTCAGAATAGTCGGGTATTTATGGTCATAAATAAATATCATATAAATTATGATAAATATTATAAATATATCATTTCAGGATTCAAATATATGCTAAGTGCTCTGTACGTGCCTATTTAATTCACTCAGGACTTAGCACCATTTTCAGATATATTTGATTACATTTTTAACAGCTATACTTACATAGTTTTACTTTTAATTTCATCTTTTACTGTAGAATGAAAGGTAACATTTATTTGCTTAAAGCATTACAGTGCTGCCCAAATGCTTCAGTTTGAAATGAAGGGTTTTCATTGGAGGATAGAAATGATTTACATTTTTTTTTGTGGCTGAAATACGGGATATTCTAGTATTGTACTCTGAGATTACAATATTTTTCCACAAAAGATTGTGAGGCTTGCTTACACATTGCTGTTCCCTCAAGCACTGCCTCAGTGAACTTTTATGGCTGATAATCTGTGGATTTCCATAAAATACTTAAAATTTCTAATGACAGTGTGTGTTAACAGGGAACTTCTCTCCTGCTGCTGTGAACAAAGCTGTGTGTAGTAGCAAGCCAAACTTGCAATAGCTTGAAGCTTTTCACATAGGAAGGTGACCTACTTTCTGTAGAGTACTTGTGAGATATTCGCAGAGCTTGGAGTGAATTCGTAATCATGCCACATTTTAAACTCAATTAACTGCATCTTTTGTGTGAAATAATTTTCATTGTCAAATGGACAAATAATCAGCCATGTGGTGAATCAAACTTGCCTGCCTAGCATATGTCTCCTAACTAAGGTAGTAAAGCACACAGGCTGAAATTAATTATGTTAAACTCTGCAAGGTTGGGGTGTTTAGTTCTGAAGCTCAGCTAATTAAATGTAACTGTGGAGCTTTGTTTTTTATTGTTGCCAGTAGAAAGCAACCCCGCTGTGAGGCCAGCATAGCATCTTTAAATTAGGTGAATGAAGCTGTGGACGGATGCCGATCCTTGAAGCGTGGCATAGGGTATGTAGGTCTTCATTGTTGAAGTGTGTGCCCATCTCCAATTAAACCTGCGTGTTTCCATAGACAGTGATCCCATCAGGATTTCGAGTTGGAATGAAGCTCGAGGCTGCAGACAAAAAGAGCCCTTCTGTCATCTGCGTTGCTACGGTAACAGATATGGTGGACAATCGTTTCCTGGTACATTTTGACAACTGGGATGAGAGCTATGACTATTGGTGAGACAGTTTCCATTCTTACACTTTTGAAATTGTAATGCTTACCTAGGGAAAAAATAAGTATGCAGTTCAAAATAAGGGGCAATATGAAGTTTATAACAAAAACAAAAAGCTCTATGTGTAGTGACTGACATCAGCCTAGTCCTTGCGAGGTCATGCAGGAGGATCAGACATTCAAGGTCATCCTCTGCTTCCTAGGCAGTTTTGAGACCAACCAAGATTGTGTGAGACCCTGTCTTGAAAAAAATAACAATGAATCATGACTACCTTTAACTCCATTCTTCTTTAATGCCTTCTTCTGGTATCTGAGTACTGCACACACAGTCCACAGACATATATGCAGGCAAGTTACACACAGAAGAATAAAATAAAATAAGAAAGAAAGAAAATGAAAAGCAAGATTAAATCAAAGCTCTGCTCCACTTTTTCCTATTTCAGATTTGTAAACTTGTTCCATTTTGTATTTTTATGCATGTCCCATATTGTATTTCCAATACACTAGATTTCTAATTAAATCCTTTAGGATGGACTCAGGATTTGTATTTGACTTGAGTTGCTAACATAAACTTTGTATCCCTGTGTTCCCAACACATACCTCCATGTCCATGCATGCACAAACTCGTTTTCCTCCTCATCTTCAGAGTCTTGTATAACTTTTTGGGAATATATTTTAATCCTCTTTCCATATTTTTATATTCAGCCAATTTAACCATTCAGATAGCTGAATACAAATGATACCAATTAAGGAATATTTTTTAAAATTCTTACCTGTTTTAGATATACTATATACAATAGTAAGAGCATCATACTATGGAAACAGCATCCTATGAAATATAATTAAAAAGTCATTGTAATAGTGCATTGACTTTTACATGCTCTGTGGTGTGAGGGATCAAACCCAGGTTCTTTGCATGCCGGACAAGTGCTGTACCTCTAGACTACAGCCTCAACCCAAACCATTATATTTGATCACACAGCTGATCACTAGAATTGATTTTCCTGGTGAAAACATCTCTGAAGCGTTTCTGTCTTGAGAAAGTGTGAAATAAGGATATTTAGAGATGCATCAGATGTATTGTGGCTGGTGCCAAGTGAATATTAACTGATATAGACATGGCCACTTTTTTCCCTTCAAAAATGCATTACATATATGTATTCTGATAGAGGAGACTGCATATGGAGATCACAGAACAATGTTTGGGAATTGGTTCTCTCCTTCCACTATGTGGTCAGTCCGTGAGCTCAGGGGCTGAGCTCAGGTTGTCAGAGTTAGTGACAAGTGTTCATATCTATTTTCAGTCTGTATAGTCAGTAGATCCACCAATAATTCTCATATTGAATTTTTAGATATGTTTTACTTGAATTGTTAAAGAAGAGGAATCACTGAGCTTGTTTTTGTGTGTGTGCTTGCGCGCACGTGTGTGTGTGTGTGTGTGTGTGTGTGTGTGTGTGTGTGTGTGTACATGCGCACATGAGAGAGAGAGAGAGAGAGAGAGAGAGAGAGAGAGAGAGAGAGAGAGA